AAATTTTTACGAATTCTTAACTCAAAATAATTTGCTAATTTTCGTGATTTTTCCATATTTTGTCACTTTTTGAACTTTAAATGCTTATAAAAAAAAATTGTGACTAAGGATTTTTAATATTTTTCATCTGCCTTTGAAACAATATATTAGGAGCCTTCTATTAAATTTTCAAGCTTTTGCAACCAACAAATAAAATTTTATTGATATTTTTAGAAAAAAAACTAAAAAAAAATGGAAAATGAAAATGTCCCTAAACAGTTCAAAATAAATCAAAATATTTTGAAAATGTTATCGTGTATAGAAAATGCAAATATAAACAACCAGTAAAAATTTCATGTATATTATACGTTCATTTGTTTTAGAGTTACACCAATAACCAAAATCGATTTTTTGGAAAACCAATTTTGCGTAAAAATTACCGTTTTTCCTTAATTTGTATGTTGTTTTTCCCGGCGCTTGTGAAAACTACTGGGAAATTTATACTTTTGACCCCCCCAAAGTACCAACTAGATTCACTTTCCTATCAGAAAAGCTACTGATGAAGAAAATCCAAGCACTTTTACTGTCCAAAAACGTGATGACAGACACAAAAAAAAAAAATATAAAAATATAAAAACATACATCATTGTAAAACCAATACATTCATCGCTCCGCTCAGAATCTAAAATTGATAATATACCTATTGGTATGATAGGTATTGTATTTATATATATATTATATATACCTACGTTAATGAGAATGAAAATGTAGTAAAAATTTCCAAAATTAAGGGAAGTGTTTGAAATTAATTATTGAATGAAAAATATAAAAAATGTAATGATAAAATTCAAGAGTATCAATCAAATTTCACTTAAAGTCTGAATTATCATTATATCAATATACATACGTTGTACTTTGCAAATAAAAAATACCTACAACTTTTGTTTATAAATTGATGCACAGATCATAGAAAATTATATTATTATAATGTAACTGAAGATTATATTGGGGAATAAAATATATACCTATGTAAATTAGGCTGCAATATATTATATATTTCTGTATAGGGATAAAGAGGAAACTGCATGTGTATATATATAGGTACAAACGTCAAACATGTATAGGCGGTAGTGTGGTATACTGGTATAGTGGTGTCTACGCCTATATATCGTAATATCGTTTGTTTTATAGGTATATATGTTACAGTTAAATCCCGAAATCCGTCGAAACTAGTTTCCACAAATCCCTTTAGTCATTTCTGGTTTTAACTAGTTAAAACTAGAATTTACTAAGACCATCACCATCAAAACTAGTTGTATATAAATTATATTGGTGAAAACTAGAATTATCTAGTTAAAATCCTTAATTTTTATATCGATAGGTTAAACTAGCTTTAACTAGGGAAAAGTAAAAATATAAGTAGGTACACATTAGAATAATTCTGTACCACAGAAGTAAACTAACGCAAGTCAATTTTTTGAAATTTTGAGTTAGTTATATAATCAGAATGTGCTTTTTGTGATATATTTAAAGGTATCAAAACGTAAGTCCTATATAAAATAAATGCATAGATAGCAAGAAGTATACTAACGTAAGTCCTAAACTATGATAGGAGTATAGAAACGTATGTCCAGCGTTTATACATAAGAAAATGATATATACAGATAATACATAATAATATTTTTAAAGTATACAATGGTTAGTCCATTGAAACAAATATTTTGTTTATCTCCCCTGTAAAATTTGCTTTTTGTGACTTGCGTTAATTGACTTCTGTTGTACAGAATTATTATAGGAATTTATTATATTATTTATTTTGACAGGACAAACTATTGTGGCATTTAGAATTGCATAGTATTGAGGGATTCGGCGAGGACGTAGGTACGACGGTTGTACGTGTGAAACGTCGATCGTAGTAAGGGCTAGGCAATCTGAATTTGCTAAGTGTTTTATTTATGTTTGTTTTAATTTAATAAAAGTGTTGGGCCCGGGACACCGTACACTTAGTGGGCCCCCTTTCAACTTAAACTACAAAATAATTGTATTATTACAATATATTAACGACTTTATATTATTATTGTATAATTTTTTACTGTACAAAAAATATACATGTATATACAGGTGTATCTTATGTCATTTTGCGAGGGGTTTTTTTCAACAATTATGGATCGATGATATGGAATTTCGTTGAAATAAAAAAAGATACGTGTTTCTTTATTTTTAACAGGCAATTTTTCAGGCAAACATTTTCAAAATTTTAGATTCTAAGTGGAACGATGAATGTATCGATTTTACAATTATGTGTGTTTTTTTTTTTTTAATTTTTTTTTTGTGTCTGTGTACGATTAGTAGTCGAAATAATGCTTCGGTTTTCAACTTCAGTATCTTATTCGATGGGAAAGTGAATCTAGTTGGTACTTTTGGGAGGGGAAAAGTTTTCAAAAGCGCACGGAAAAACAAAATAAAAATTAAGGAAAACCGGGAATTTTTTACTCAAAATCTTGGTTTTTAGTGTAACTCTAAGACAAATGAACATATACATATATACATATAACATATACATGAAATTTTTACTTTTGGTTTATGTTTGCATTTTCTATACACGATAACATTTTCAAAATATTTTAATTTATTTTGAACTGTTTAAGGACGTTTTCAGTTTCCAATTTTATTAGTTTTTTTTTCTATGAACTTCAATATAACTTTATTTGTCGAGTAAAAATACTTGGAAATTTGAAAAATATTAAAAACCCTTGGTCACAGTTTTTTTTTATGAGCATTTAAAGTTTAAATCTTGACAAAACATGGTATCATCGTATATTGTTGACAGTCGTCAAGATATTATTATTTAATATATATATGTATATTGTATATGTAATAGAGGTGGGAACATTTTAAATTGTAAACTATTGACATAGGTCCAGTGAACCCAGGCGCGGATCTAGAACATATTTTCGAGGGGGGCCATCTTAATTTCTGCCTAAGTCTGATAAAAACATTGTACGTACTATGTAAGCTAATAGGCAAATATTATTATTTAAACCCAGTTTATCAGTACACTAAAATATATAAAATAATTTGATAAGTTAAATAAATGGTTTAATTAATAATGATACGTAATACATATTATATAATAAATAATAATTAATAATAAAATATAACAAATATTAAAAAATGATCACAGAACAAAATCCTTTCGTCTTTTAAATAATTAGATAAGTAATATACCTAAATGGTTTAATATCGATTAGATAAGATTAGCTTTTTGACGGCGACCGGTAAAAACGGACACGGCCGAAACGCTATCGGCAAAACAATACATTTTATCGGCTGCCCAAAATAGATATAATAGAAAATCCACCAGTCTACGGGGGGGGGGGGGCATGGCCCCTTGCCCCCCCCCCCCTTGGATCCGCGCCTGAGTGAAGCAATATGTGCTGAGGCAGCAATAAGATATTAATATAATATAACACCGCCGTACGCGCAGGCGCAGGTAGTCCCGTTGTCGCTGAGTGATTCGGCGGGGACGTAGGTACGACGGTTGTACGTGTGAAACGTCGATCGTATAGTACTGGCTAGGCAATCCGAATTCGCTTAGTGTTTTATTTATGTTTATTTTACAAAGTGTTTCCGACCTAAAAACCCGAGTTGAATATTATTTCAAAGTCTTCTTCGTTCTTACCTTTAATATCGGAACAGTGCTCAGACCCACACACCTATAATACAGTCAATGCGAGGTTTATTACAAACTGAACAGTGCTCCGGTTGTGGCGTCCCATAATAGTCATTCCAATTTAGGAAACGGACGAAGAACTGACAAAACGCATACCATCGTATACACCTCAAAGGTTAACAGTGCTAATCTGAATTTATTCTAGAGACAGTCATTAGCCTAGAGCAGCTGCTAGTGGCGTAGTGTGGGTATTAAAAAGATGTAAGCAGTGAAATTTTTTTTTTTCAAAAGTGATTAGATTATAGTAATATAGTTACTATACCTAAATACCTAATTATAAATGATGTATAAAAAAATGTTATCCTTTTAAAATTTTTAATATTTTTAAAAATATACTAGTTGTACAAATCAAATTCGAGAAAATAAAGAAATTGAAGTATAAATACTTCAAAAGTCTATTATAGGCGAATGACAGTGACAGTGTACGTAAAAACGACTACAGTCTACAACGCGTCGGGCTACGTACTGGTCGCTCCTTGTTTCTTGCGTAAGCAAAATCAAATGTGCTTACAAACGCTAGTTAAATACGCGGCCCCCACTATGGCATTGTAGACTATTCGAAAACAACAGTAAGCAATTTCAGAATGTGCTACACTTACACTGTATATCGTATTATGATTATATGCAGTTAACATAATACAGAATGGATTAAAAATAGACCTACAATCGATGATTTTCTTAAAATAGTTGGTAATCAGTATAGACAGCGTACGACGCAAATAAACAGTAACAAAAACCACTACCAGATATTATAACTTAAATATTTTATAAATAAAATTAAAATTTTAAAAATCATTTGTTATGTACCTACCTATTAGTCGTGATTGATCAAATTTCTTTTTTCTTTAATTTAAAGTGTAAGCATTACTCACAGTGCTTACATACACGCTACGCCCCTGGCCTAGAGCGTATACCTAAGGTATAAAGTTGGTTTACCGCGTATTATCCGATACGGGTGATACCACTCGTTCAATTTTAAATTTCCCGCCCTAATTGGATGCTAGTTTCGGAAACCATAACGAAAAATCGCCACACGGCGCGTTAGTATCGAGGGACATTTGTTGCGGAACTGAGAATGCATCGACTGATATCAATATAGGAAAGGAAAATTCGACATTTTGATTTTTGGTACATTTTCATAATTATCAATATTGTGATTATTACGATATTAATTATTGTTAGACGTAATTGGTAGGTTCGTGCGTAGCACGCTCACACGACTCGTGACATAAAATATATTCCTATAATATTTACTTGTTGTTACAGAATTCATATTATACTTCATATTATGGATTCTGATTTGAGAGATTTAGATCTTTATGGGATGCTTGGAATCAAACAGTCGGCTACTGAAAAAGTGGTAAGTCAATTTCTAATCACTCGTGACGTATTACTACTATTCATATTTGCTATTTCAATCAGATGAAAACGGCATATCGGAAGAAAGCACTACGATGCCCTCCAGATAAAAATCCCGATAATCCCAATGCAGCTCAACTGTTCTTGCGGTTATCCAAAATATTAACTATTCTTACAGACACAGCAGCTCGAGTAAGATTTGTTGATTTAGCATTGTAAATTGTATTTATTTGTAAATGTTTTTTTCTTGTTTTTAGTTGGATTATGACAAGTCGGTAAATCTGCTGCAAAATTGCTCAAAAAAGGACGTGATTCGGGTAAAGCGAAATTAATAAATGATATTTTAAAAAGAACTAAACATGAAAGATCAGTACAACGAGATACAGATAAAAGGGATTTCAAAGTAGGTAATTTTTTTTTTTTTAATTTTTGTTTTTTTTTAAATTTTTTTGTGTAGAAAGAAATGATGCTTTTAAATAAAGAAAGTGACCTCAGGCAGCGAGAAACTGAAAAAGAAAAAACGGTTCATTTATATTAAAATTAAAGTGGAAGAAAAACGGTATATATAATAAAGCAAACTTAACATCATTGTTTTCTAAGGTAATTTATAAACATTATATTTTAAACATATGTCTAATACATTATACAATATTATAGTACGGTGAACTATCATTTGTTGTGGTTCTGGAAAATGCTGTGGCTTTTGTTATGTACGAATATAAGACTGCTGCCGTAAGTGATTTTAAATTAAATTAAGGTAACCTGCTAAACCTTTACAAGAAAATAGTAATTCAAACAATATAAATACAGAAGAACACTACAAGAACTTGATTTGCATAGATTATTATTAATATTTGTGGTAATTATGTCCATAATATGTAAATATGTATAAATAATTTTTTACTCCGCCTTAATTGACATTACCAAGTTATGAATGTATACCTGAAAAAAAACGCCAAAATATTATTGAAATGATTTCTGAAAAAAATATCGAACACAAGAGCAAATAAATGTGAAATTGTGAATGTACGACTATAGAAATGTAGGTAAATATGATTATTTATACATATTATTAGATTACTTATTATTTTATGATCCGTTCAATTTCTGTTCAATTATTTATATTATATTGAAATATAATTTTTAACTTAAAAACAGCACGAGAAGTAATTTATATAAGATGCTACTGTAGGGTATGTTGATTGATATGTTACAATTTTTATAATTAATATTTTACTTAAATATTAAGCACTTATAATAGATTACTTATAGTTACGGTACCTATTGAATATTTGATGCTTTATAATCATTTAAAACCAAATTTATATCCAAAAACTGTAATGATTGATTATGAAAAACCTACTATTAATGCACTTAAACAGAATTTGATGAAACGGACATGATGAAATTTTTTTATAGGTCGAATCGTCCCTAACGTGTTATATTTTTTTTATATTAATTAATACTATAATTTCAAAATCATGATTATAATTATATGTATATTATTTTAGTGTACATGTTACATTGATGCGAAATTGTGTTATAATACTTACTACTTTGTATATATGTTATTTACCTACTTTATGATGATATCTAATAATATAATTTAATATTTAATAAGAATGTTTGATTGACATTTAAAATACCTATAACAATGTAAATATGTTTATGTATAATGTAATGGTAGTTCGTATTATTATGTAAATAATACATCTGTGTGAATTAGTACTTTGAACATAATGTTAGTGGGTATTTTTAATAATATAACTTCCTAACCTACCAAATACATTGGTATCATGACAAATATTATTTGAAAATTTATTGTGAATTAAATATTGAAATATGTTAACATGTGTTTATCATTAAATTATCAGAAATACGTTGTAGTATTTGCGAAATTGTTGAAGTAGTAGCTACCTAACATAATTATAGATATACTGATATTGATATACGTATAAACGTGCAAACTGGGTCGTCTATAACAATAGTTGGATTGGCTATATTTTATAGTTGCTATACGGATAGTCATACGATTAGTCAGATTTGCTTGTAAATTGTTAAGTTTTATATTTAAATTTTCTATATTAGTAAATATTAATTCTTTAAAAAAAATTAAATTTATTGTCAATACGACAATACCTACATTTTTATTTGGTAAATTCAAATATTTTTTCCACAGCTACATCATTAACGGGCAAATATGTTCTATCTTTATGATTAATCGTACCTAATCTTATTTTATTTTTTTTAATATTATAAAAAAGCCTCGGCAGCGTGGCCATTGGCTGACATTTGATAATTGTTTACATAATATTAGTTATTACAATAATTTTTGTTTTTACATATTATTATACATTAGTTATTTACAAAAAATGTTCAATTTATATTTCTTTTATGAAACTTAGTATCTTTTTGATGGTTGACAAGTTAGTTTTATTTTTATAATCTTTGATTTTCAAAAAAAATCTCCTTCATAACACTTGTGTGAATGGCAAAATTAATATACATTTGTAAAGTATGAATACGTTACAAAACAAATTTAATTAACTATCACCATTTGCATGAAATATTATTTTGTTTGTATTAATTTACTAATTCAATTCAAACAAATTAAATAAGAGACTCATCTAAAAAAATACTGGACGATGCCTCGAAGTCACTGCATAGGAAGAGAGATGTGAGTTTGTATTATACTATATACAGTACTATACAATTATATTATACAAGGTATAAAATGATTTTAATACAGATTGTATATAAAAAAAAAAAATATATTAGTAAATTTTATTAGAAAATTAATTTAATTTTTAAGAAATAATTCACTATGAATTGTAATTACATTACAATTAACAACAGTATAAATATTAACAATAATTTATTTTGCTATGTATATTTATGCACTATATTTTTATGTCAGTGAAACAGTAACAGATTAAGAAATTATAATAAAATGTCAGAATTATTTTAACATGATTTTTCTATAAAGTAAATTATATTTATTTATACATGACTGCTAGTTCAGAATTCAGAATGAGGTAGTCCATAATATCTACTCCCTCAATCCTAACTCAAATCAATAATGTCGTTACAATTATTTTTATTCAATTAAGGACTTTTTAACTTAGGCCAATTTGAACCAGAAGTATAACTATCTTTTTAAAGATGGATATATTCTGTTAAGTGTAAGTCAAATTTACTAAACAACAACAAATGGTCCTGAAAGACATGAGTTATAAATAAATGTAATATTATTTTTCACTCATGAACAATTATTAAAATATTTTTACATACAAAAATTATATAAGATATACAATTAGGTATAGTTTAAAGTGTTATTACAATTCATTCAAAATAATAATTTTTTTAAACATTTGTATGAAATATCTCTTTAATGAATTTCATTATCTATAATTTGTATTACTTTGAAACGGGAATTTTGAGACTTCAGATGGAAATTTTTGTTTATAAATGGTTGCCATGGGTTTTTAAGCTATATAGTAATAATAATAATAAAAATAAATATATTTGCTTAACTAATTAAATATCAATTATATTTAAGTTTGAGTCGTATAGAGTTGATACATTTAACGGGCAACGAAGTGCACGGGATCACGGATAGTATACAATAATTAAATAATAATAAAAATGGTAATAGTTATATTAATAACTTACCTAAATACTCATTGGCCCCCATTGACTAGACATTTTTTTTTCTTAATTTCTCAAATTTTAGATTCTGAGTGGGGCTATAAATGTTGATTTTACAATGTGTGTTTTTTTTTAATTAAAATTTTTTTTTTTTGTGTCTGCCATCACCTTTTAGGACAGTATAAGTTCTTGCATTTTTTTTTAACAAATTTTGTCTGACAGGAAAGTGAATCTAGTTTGTACTTTGTAGGTGTCAAAAGTAAACATTTTATAGTAGTTTTCAAAAGTTAAATCTAAGATTTTTAAATGTAATACAAGATTCCTTTAAAGGTTATTTATCTATATCAAAAAAAAAAATTTCAATAAGATAGTTAGATTAAATATTTTTAAGCATTTGAATTTTTACTCTATTTCTTATGTAGCAATTTTCTTATTTTGTAGTAATTCAAAAACAAATAACCGTAGACACTTTAGATTGCTATCATATGATTATTTCACAATTCCTATACTCGATTACATTTTCATAATATTTTGACTTGTTTTGAGCTGTTTAAGGACAATTATTTCAAATTTCAATTTATTTAGTTTTTTTTATCAATAAAATATCATTTGGTAGGCCAAAAACCACCAAAATTGAATATAAGACTCCTGATAAATAGCAGTTGATGGGCACAATTTTTTTTACAATTATTTGATTGTATCAAACCCTGCATCACTGGGCCTTGTCACTAAATTGACATAATTTTTTTTTCTCCCTGGATATCTGGTCTTTGTAATTTTCTGATTGGCCAGAATACAAAAATCGTCTATCGAATCGGAAAAAAACCGAAACCTAACCTATAAGAGATTTGTGTTTACAGCTAGAAGACGTAGACCAGAAACATCGTGAATACATAACGGTTTCGAATTGAATTTCGTATAATTGCTAAATATTAAGTAAGTTTAAGACATATATAAGTTATTTTTATAAAACGTATTCTGTGCTCATATCGCAACTATATTATTATATAATTCATAACAGATTTGTGTTTACAGGCTGACGACGTAGACCAGAAACATCGTGAATACATAACGGTTTCGAATTGAATTTCGTAAAATTGCTAAATATTAAGTAAGTTTAAGATATATAGGTATAAGTTATTTTTATAAAACGTATTCAGTGCTCATATCGCTATTATATTATTATATAATTCATAACAGATTTGTGTTTACAGGCAGACGACGTAGACCAGAAACATCGTGAATACATGACGGTTTCGAATCAAATTTCGTAAAATTGCTAAATATTAAGTAAGTTTTAAATATATATAAGTTATTTTCATCAAACGTATTATGTGATCATATCGCTACTACATTTTTATTCGAATCCCTGGTGAAAAGTCCAGTGACAAAGTATCCACTCAGAAAAGTACTGTTTTATTTTTTGATTGTCGGGCAAAAAGTCCTAACACATTTTTTATTTCGAACAAAAAGTCTAAAAATACTAGATATTCTATTGCATTTTTATTTATAATAATTATATTACATTATATTATATAGGTAATAGGTAGGTTACATATCATTATATATACGTCGTGTACTACGTAAATCCGACGATTTCTATTCTGACCATGCTGTTCCGTCGAAATACGATGCGACCGATACGACGAAATACAAACTGTTTTGTTTTTGGTCTCATTTGTTGGATTCATGTAGGATACGGCGAATTGGGCATTTAATATATAATTAATATTTATTTAATACATTTTGATAATTATTTGTTAATTTTAATTTAGCATTGTGTCCCATTAGTTAAAAAAATATATAAAAATAATTATTTTGTTATATATCGTATTGGCTTATTACTTATAGCAATTAATTGTAATACATAAATTTACTCAGAACAATAAATTTAAATAGTTTCAATAAACATCAAAATCAAAGTTCTAAAGAAAAATTATAAACACTTTGGCTTCTTCAAATATTATAAAACATTAATAAAAAAAATCAGGGTAAATTTGTGTCGCTCTGATGTATAGTAGGTTACAAGTGGGTCACTATAATGGATGGTGTTAAATTTGAATTCAATTATGTAAAATTATTGCATACAAAAAATGATTCCGAGCAAA